AATTGCATGTACCCCTGGGACGTTTGTGGCAAAACGTTCATTGACCAAGATTCTACCAGCCTTGTCAGTTTCTACTCCTATCGTGTCCAATCCAAGTCCTGAAGTGAATGGTACTCTTCCAGCAGAGACGAGAACAACATCAGCCTCGAGAATAGTTTGATCACCACCACCTGAAGGTTCAAGGGTCAACTTCACACCATCACCTGTAGCATCAACTGACACCACCTTAGTGTTTAGCATGAATTTCATCTTTTGCTTCTCAAGAGCACGTTGAAATTGCTTGCGAACTTCACCATCCATCGTTGGAACAATATCAGCTGCAAATTCAACAACAGTCACCTCTGAGCCGAGGCGACCCCAGACAGATCCCATCTCAAGGCCTATATAGCCAGCACCAATAACAACTAATCTTTGCGGAATTTCAGTCAAAGCTAATGCTCCGGTGGATGACACAATTTTCTTCTCATCAATGGTTATGCCAGGTAGACCTTTGACATCAGAGCCAGTTGCGATAATAATATTTTTGCCTTTAACAACAGAGTTGCCACCTTCGACAGTGTCAACAGAAATTTCAGAAGGCGAGAGGAATTTACCATATCCCTTCACATAGTTTACTTTGTTCTTCTTGAATAGACCCTCAATACCTCGTGTTAAGTTAGACACGGCTTTATCTTTTTGTCCCATCATGGCAGGGAGATCAACTTCAACAGAAGAAAACTTCACACCATGATTGGCAAATGAATGTTGCGCTTCATGAAACATGTGGGACGAATGAAGAAGTGCCTGTACCAAGTAATGAGAATATATTAGAAGATTAGATGTAAAAAAGTTTCAGTCTTCACAAACTTACTAAAAAAGTTTCAAGCACAGTTGGTGACATATAATAAAATCATGGACCAGAATACATCAATATTTACAGAATGCCATCCAAATTTCATATGCAGAAGAATCATATAATTTTTAAATGAAGTCACATAAACAGCACACCAAAGTGAATTATTACCTGGTGAACTCTGAGTATGGGTTATCACTGGAGAGAGGGGAAAAACAATAGTAAGTCCGATGTTGTTTAGTAAATACACATACTATGGGCACAAGTTCACAAATATGGCACCAGGTTTTTTGTCATCACTGAACAAATGTCCTCTTGGGAAGTTATATCAGTGGAATTGGTACATGAGAACCCACCATCACGTCACATTTAAGGGCATCGACGAAAATAATTTGGTAATAGTGGAATTGTGAGCACATATAATTCTCTTGCATCACCTATGCAGCATTCCAGATGACCCCTCAACTCAAAATTATCTTACTAGATTTCAAAGGTCCAAACCAGGGGAAGATGACACAATCAGGAAGCAACTATTAACATTGAGAAGCCTTTATAAAAGGTGAAGAAAATGAAAAAAATATGAAGAACTTTCTGAAAGTTTATCTGATCTGCAACTGTTTGCATTTATTGGCTAGTCAACCAGGACTGTCCGACTGTAACTAACTTGAATAGAGCTATAAAAAGGAAACTAACAACAACAACTACGCCTAACTCCCAAACAAGTAGAGGTCAACTATATGAATCCTAATTTACCATGTTACTCCATTTTAGCTCATCTAAGGCCAATAGTATATAAAATAAAAGTAAAAATAAAGTTCGTTTAAGGAAACTGAATTCTCATATATTCAAAACTCAGAAAATACAAAGCTCGAAGCAGAAAAGGCCTAATATTCTAAATCACATGAATTTGCACAATATTCAATAGCACAGATGCACAATAATATATATACAGGCCATCGTCCTTGTGTTGATTATTTTTTTTATTTGTTATTGTTTCCATCGTCCTTGTGTTAATTAAATCTCAAAATCAATCAACCAAACTCAATCCGAATGTAGTCAAGTCAACTATATGAGAGTCTTTATCCATTTTAGCCTTTATCAACAAAATCTATCCACTCTACTCTATTTAGGGTCTATTTCATTTCAATACTAAATAATGTCTTCTACAACAAATAAATAGTTCTCTAGATCACATTATCCAACTCTCTAACCAAAGCTAGAAGACTTCTTACGGACATTGAACCTTAATGTAAGCATAACAATTGAATCGTAGTTCTAATAAGTCGATGCCCCTTGTATGATTCCTTTCCTTTCTATATATTATGATTGTATCTATGTTCACATTGATTCCTAGAGATAAGTCTGATTCGTCCCTTTAACCATCTCCCCACATCAAACTGACGACGCACAGGGTAACAGCTACACCTAGAGATCTATGTAGGATATTGTCAAACCATCTCAAATGACACTAACTCATTTATTTTCTATGTGTGCTACTTGTACATTCTATTGCATGCAATCATTTCTAATTTTATCCAATTCTTTGTTTTCTTTCTATATGTTCTTATCTGCTGTTTGTATTGATTCTGAGAGAAGTCTAATTTGTACCGTTAACCATCTATCACCATCAACTTAGCTCTAATAAGTCGATGCCCCTTATATGATTCCTTTGCTTTCTTTATATTATGATTGTATCTATGTTCACATTGATTCCTAGAGACAAGTCTGATTCGTCCCTTTAACCATCTCCCCACATCAAACTGACGACGCACATGCTAACAGCTACACCTAGAGATCTATGTAGGATATTGTCAAACCATCTCAAATGATACTAACTCGTTTATTTTCTCTGTGTGCTACTTGTACATTCTATTGCATGCAATCATTTCTAATTTTGTCCAATTCTTTGCTTTCTTTCTATATGTTCTTATCTGCAGTTTGTATTGATTCTGAGAGAAGTATAATTCGTACCTTTAACCATCTAATCACCATAGACTTAGTTCTAATAAGTCAATGCCCCTTATATGATCCCTTTGCTTTCTTTATATTATGATTGTATCTATGTTCACATTGATTCCTAGAGATAAGTCTGTTTCGTCCCTTTAACCATCTCCCGACATCAAATTGACGACGCACAGGCTAAAAGCTACAACTAGAGATCTATGTGGGATATTGTCAAACCATCTCAAATGAAACTAACTCATTTATTTTCTACATGTGCTACTTGTACATTCTATTGGATGCAATCATTTCTAATTTTATCCAATTCTTTGCTTTCTTTCTATTTGTTCTTATCTGCTGTTTGTATTGATTCTGAGAGAAATCTAACTATCTATCACCATCGACTTAGTTCTAATAAGTTGATGCCCCTTATATGATTCCTTTGCTTTCTTTATATTATGATTGTGTCTATGTTCACATTGATTCCTAGAGATAAGTATGATTCATCCCTTTAACCATCTCCCCACATCAAACTGACGATGCACATGCTAACAGCTACACCTCGAGATCTATGTAGGATATTGTCAAACCATCTCAAATGACACTAACTCATTTATTTTCTACATGTGCTACTTGTACATTCTATTGCATGCAATCATTTCTAAAATTGTCCAATTCTTTGCTTTCTTTCTATATGTTCTTATCTGCTGTTTGAATTGATTCTGGGAGAAGTATAATTCGTACCTTTAACCATCTATCACCATCCACTTAGTTCTAGTAAGTCCATGCCCCTCATATAATTCCTTTGCTTTCTTTATATTATGATCGTATCTATGTTCAGATTGATTCCTAGAAATAAGTCTGATTCGTCCCTTTAACTGACGACGCACACGATAACTGCTACACCTGGAGATGTATGGACAAGATAGTCAAACCATTCCAAATGACACTTCCTTATTTATTCTCTAAATAAATGTGTTACTAGCACATTCTATCGATGCAATCATTTCTAATTGTATCCAATCTCTTAAGTTCAACAGCTGCATTTTATAACAATAATGTTGGATCTTATAGACCTAACAGTTGCTTTGTTAGACATAGTTTTTTGCACTACACGATCATAAACTTCCATATCAACCATCCTATTTACCATTCTTTTGGAAGAACTAATATGCATAAGCTCAGCGTAATTGCATGGTGAGAATGTGGAATCAACAGATTTGCAATAACAAGCAATAGAAAGACCAAATAGATCTTAAGAAAATGATCCAACTTCGAAAAAAGTAGTAACAGTAACAAAATTCAGAAATTAGCAAGTGAAAGTCCATCAATTAACTTGCACATCTCAAACTCAAAATAAGTTAGCATCAGCTGCACAAAAAATAAACCCTCTGTATCCATTAGATTTCCGCAAATTCATCATATTTCACTATTTTCTTCTAATACATATACTCAACAAAGCTCATCAATTCCAAATAAACGAATGAGTAAATATACCTTAGAAGGAATACAACCAACGTTAAGGCAAGTACCACCGAGGGTACCACGTTTCTCGATACAGGTAGTTTTAAGCCCAAGCTGTGCTGCTTTAATCGCCGCCACATAGCCTCCGGGACCACCACCGATAACAACGACGTCGTTCTCATCGGATCCTGAAGCGAAGCCTCTGGTTAAAGAGAACGAATACTTGGAGGTGCTGTAGAGGAATCTGGATGACAGAAACGTTGTAGCCTTTCGTCTAGCTAAGGTAGAAATCGCCATTTGTAGAGATCAGTTAACGGAATCGTGTATTCCGGTGAACTTCCCGGTAGGTTTTTTTGGTCAATTTTGGCGATTCGATGTGAACTGTTCAGTTGTTGAAGACTCACTTTTTTTCTCTTATTACTACAAAGTTTATTCCTCTTACTTTTCTTTTTACTAGTTTTTTTTTTAGCGTCACTATCTACATATTAAAACTTTTTTCGACTTTCATGTCTCAACTATAAGCGTGTGTTATCTATTTGTTGAATTATATCTTACATATATATCGTATCGAAAAATCATGGTTACATATATAAGATGAAAAATCAATTTCTAGTTAAACTATCACCATCTTCTCAACTAGGCGAGTTCAATACATAACTGTTGATGATTCAGGTAATAAAAGGAAAAAAACAATTGATAATTAAAACATAAGACAATCATTACCACACAATCAACAAATTGCTAATGGTGGACACACAACAGCTGAAGTTACAAATGCACAGGCACATAAATGAATATAGAGAGATACCACAGAAAACACACACAAGAACCATAATAAGACTCTACTTTGAAACACAAGACTGACAATTTGAACTGGAGAAACTCTCAGTTACTGTAAATCCAGGATAAACATCAAGCAGACGCGCCTCGCGCAAACATTACATTTGTTTTCAAGTCAACAACTAAAGAATACCAAAAGAAGCATTTTGCTTTTTTTTCTTTTTTGTCTTAATGCTGAAGAAAATATATGGAAACCTTGAATCTGTTGAAATAGAGAAGCCAAAAGGCAGAACTTGCACTGTATTTGAAGCAGAATAACAGCCACCATCCGAATCCCAACCACAAACTAAAAATTAGTATCTCAGCCACATTCTCCTCGAAAGGAAGAACGAAGAACAGAACATATCCCAAAACTTATTATCCGATCAACTTTGGTAGGACCAAGTATATTATACGACAGGGAACTAACTTTTCCATCAGTATCGAGCTACCGTTCATGCATACTCACTTAAGGACCTTTTTTCCAGACCCACTGGCCTCATCAAGCTGGAAAGCTCTAGGATCAAGAGGAATTGTTCCAATAGTCAGGAAACCAGAAGATTCAGCATGTCCATTAACTTTAACAGGCATAGATCCCACTGTGACAACATCAACTGACTGGGTGCTGGCCACTGTATTAGTAGTGCTATGTACATCCAGCGGCTTATCTTTCAATGGTTTCGGGTTGATAGTTAAGGAACCAATTTTCAGTGCAGTATTCACAAGTGGACCTCCTTCAGCCACAAGTTTGTCACCATTATCTGCACTCTCTTTGTTAGCTTTAGAAACTATTGAATTCAGTTCTGCAGGAACAGCCATGCAACTTCCAGATTGTTGTTGTTCACTACACTTTGAGATCTTCTCACTTTCACCAGAAGGTAAACCTGGAGTAGAATTTAGCTTGAGTGGAAGATCCAGTACAGGAACAGCACTATACTTTGAGATCTTCTCACTTCCACCAGAAGGTAGACCTGGAGTAGAATTTAGCTTGCGTGGAGGATCAAGTGCAGGAACAGCAAATGGGTTATCGTAGCTCCTGATTAGCAGCTTGGCTTTCTCTTCCTGCAAGAGTTTCTGTCTGTTTTCATAATACATGAAGTCATCTAGCAATGATGTCCTTGACGCATAATCCTTAAATACTTTCAGCATCTCAATGCCTTTCTTGTAGCGTATCTGCACATTGATAACAAAGGATGTCAGATTTTTCTGCCTTTCTTGCACCATATGTGCTTATACACAACAGGGGAGAAATGATGTGATTTTCAAAAATGTAGAAGCCAACTTCAGTAAAAAGTGAAATGCAAGACGATGTAACCATGGGATATATAAACAGCTGTAACTCATGCCATAACAGCATCAGCTGCAGGAGCCAGTATGACGCAAAGAAGAGCAGTAAAGGTACTTCATGCTATATGGACAGTTCATCAAACTACCCTTGTGATCCATACAATTTTAAAGGGTATGGTTTCATAAGATATGCAAAAATTATCAGTAACATTGTTACAGGTTTTACATTATAATGATCTTGCAAGCGGTATGGAGACTTGTGGACAGGTACTGGAAGATTTCTTTGATAATGGAGATTAATGTTCTCTATACAAACATAGGTATAATGACAGTTGTAGTGCATGCTGTTAACCATACCACCTAGTCAAATTCTTAAACAAATGTACGCGTTTTCAATCCCTTCAAATTCGTATACATGTATATTGTTGCCAAAGAAGAAAATGGCCAAAACATAGAAGAGGATATTGTGTTAATGCCCAACAGACATTCTTAACAAAAGAAGACGAGGAGGAAATCAGAAAATAACTTGTGCATAAAAGCTGATGGCAGCGAAAGAAACCACAAAATAGAAATACAATGCCACACAGCATTAAGTATGCTCTCAATTTGATGTGAATCAAATGGGGAGAAAGAACTGGGGACGGAGAGCATAAAAAAGTTTGCAATAACATCACACAAGGAGGGGAAGAGAAGTGATTGGTCATCACTTCCCATATAACATAAGAAGAATAGTTGAAGTAAATTGAAGCCATGCCTAATGTATGTCACCTCCATTGGCTCCCAAAAAAAAAAGGAATAGAAGAAAAAGAGGACCACAGAGAGAAAACAATGAATAATGGGAAAAGGAGAGCAAAATACCGGATAAATCATTAACACGAAATAAGTAGCAGGTTCTATGGTACTACCATATTGGGTTCATTTAGTAGGCAGGTTTCATGCATTGCCAATACAGGTTCGTATTTTATCCACCTCGGACCAAAAATACTAATTTCAGGTAAACATACTGACAAAAAAACAAGCAGTAGAAGCAAAGAGAAGTGTATGGGTTGCATCATGCAGAATTGAATAACAAACCTCTTGTGTGTCTCTGCTGTTAGTTACTGGCTTGTTCTCATTGTTCTCTAATATAATATGCCTAAAGTTAGGGTTAGGGACATCCTTTATGAAGTGCCACTTCACAGGGAAGCTACCACTCCACTTATCTTGCTGCCAGAAATCCATGTCCTTGTAGAAGTCTACAGGACCAGTCATTTCGGCGACCCCACAAAACTGCCCACTTGCATTAACCTTCATATTCAAGATTCAAAGACAATATCAAATTAGTTCAGCTTATTTTGACAATGAATTATTTGGCTAAAATAGTTGGTGATTACTGCATTGATTAGAGCTAGTGGTATAAATAAATCAACTAACCGAGAAAAAAAGGAATATCGGGCAGCCTCTTGGATTTCCAGGAGTAATTCTCTGAGCATCTTCATAAGCACTATTTAGCTTTTTGTTCCCATTAGGGGTTGATGACCAAACATTGTACTTTATACTCTTGTGCACATCATCCTCACTGTATGATTTGATCACAAAAAACTTTGCGTTCACGAAGTCCATCAGAAAATCACCCCTATTGTACTCATCAGCATGAATAACTATATTTCCTTGCACATCAACATTTCCTGCTCTTGTAGAGTAGGCCTTCACAAGCAATTGCTTTTTCATTTTGTCAATTCGAGGTCCTCTATTCTGTTCCATCAACATATCAGGACTAACTTTCCCATCACTTGGGATTGTTCCATTTAGAAACTTTGTCCTGATTTTATCTGTATTAGCCTGATCATGAGCACCTGATCTGTGATTAGACAAGTCAATTTCAGGTGGAAGAGGAGCTCTCAGTTGACCGTGATTAGACAAAACCTTCCCATGAATAATGCTTCCTATAGCTTGAGCAACTGTACCCTATCAAAGGATCCAAAAAAACACAGAGATGCATGAGCCACGGTTCCATGAAGAGGTGAAGAAAGATACAAGCTCACTTGAAACTAGAGCAATACTAACAAATGAACCATGTTAAAGAAGCCCTATTGGACACCTTCCGAACACCGAAAAAAGTTCCTTACCGGGTGTACCTGAGAGGATGGACTGGAAAAACCATGTGACACGTGCTGCTTGCCCGATGCAGCATTGATCTTTGCACTTTCAGATCCCCTGTTAGATGCACTTTTATAACCTGAAGCTGGCCCTAATGAAGTCGGGGTAAATATTGGAGATGTTGGAGATAAATTACGTTTAAGACGAAGATCATCAGCTCTGTTAGTAGAAGATATAACACTATCCATTATCGGATCTGCAGCATTCTCAGGAATACTAGATGTAGATGGCACCGCCATCGGGAAGTACGAAGATGATCCCAAGTTTTCGTAAGGGGGAATTGTGTAGTAATGTTGTGGCCCTGCACATGGACCATCAGCTCCTACTACGGCACCAGGAATGTAAGGGTTGTATGGGTTATATGAAGACTGTGCACATCCATAGTTAGGTGTATAATATACATACGGGAAACTTTCAGTTTGAGCATCCTGAAATGAAGGGAAAAAGAGTTACAAATACAATCAACAGAGACTATATACTACAACAAAAATATTAATGTAGACTTTGGTTAACTATGTAGAAGAATGAACTGACCATATACTGAATATCCTGACCATCCAGACCAAAAAATCCTTGGTGGCCATCCCAATCACCAGGTGATTCTAATCCTGATAAAATAAAACGTTAACGCAAGTAAGGGATCCAACTACCATTCGCGATTTGGAATCTCAAGATTAGATCTAGAATCATACCTAACTTATTAAACAAAGTGAACAAAAACAAAATGAAGTATCATACCTGTACAGAAATAACCATAATTGGTGGCAGGTGGATAATATAATCCCTGATCAACAACAAACTCAGGGGCTCCTTCATTATACATAGCTTGAGAGTTCTGAAGCAGGGGAGTAGTGATCTGCAGGTTTTCCTCAGTACCCTGAATCTGGCAAAACAGAGAAAAATCCTTTATCATTTTAACCATCACGCTCTAAAATAGAATGACACTGAAAGTCACAGACATTTTTGGTCATCTTGGGCAAAAACATCTTAAATATCCCATTCTAATCATTAATACCAAACTTCAGAATATAATCACCCACATATCCTTTCTAAGGAATATTATATACTCTGACTGGTGACTACTACTCCTTCACAGAAAAGAAGTAACAAAAATATAATACGTAATAGGTGTGTGTCACTCTAACAGGAAACCTAGAGTCAAAAGAAGCAAAAAATATTTCCAAAGAATAAAAATGCAGCAATTTGTCAGAACTGCTAGAAACAAACAGAACCTAGTGGCTGACCGACAAAAGGGAATAAGAAAGAATCTAAAATGCACTACCATCCATCAATTACATCAGCAAAGTCATACTACAAGTTTGACCAAACTATTTCTCCAACCTCTAATGCATCCAACTAGCTAATCTCAACTACCATATACGACAATAAATCTGCCACATCAGTCTCCATTTCAGTCACAACTCAAAACACTCAAGGACATGTACACTAGAAAAACATACTACAACAAAATAGTTAATGTAATATCCAAGTTATAACTAGAAACATCTTTTGTCATGTGCGATCAATCAATCAACTACATCTCAAATCATAAACTAGCTGAAGTACAACAACAACACCATACCCAATGTAATCCTATGAGTGGAGTCTAGGGAGGGTGGAGCATACGCAGACCTTACCCCTAACTCGCAGAGATAGAGAGGCTGTCTATGACAGTTGCGCAAATCCTCATCCTAGACTATTTTAGCCAGGCTGTCAACCTACCAAAACCTTGCTCCTATATTTGGTTTTGGCACCGAAAATTTTGTAAAGCTCACATAAGAAGTACTCTGAATTTCACATAAGCAGAAGTGGTGAAACCATAAAGCTGAAATGAATCGCAAAGCAAATTAGTAATACAAAAAGAAGCACAACCAAACCATAGCGGACAAACAATGTTTTAACTCACTAAACAGAAAAAGATAAAACCCAAGAAAAAACTCAACATGCTCTGTATTAAATACAACTACCACACCGCAATCCTAAACTAGAAGTCAACAATATTCAGCACATAAAACACACAACAACAAAAAAACATGGTGCAATCCCACAATGGAGTCTTGGGAGGGTGGTGTGTACATTACCTTACCCCTACCTTGAGAAGGTAGAGAGGCCATTTCTTGCTGATAGACCCTCAGCTCAAACAGATGAAACAGATGTCAACTAGCAACAAGCAGGAACAACTACAGACACCTCAATCCCAAAAACACAAAAAAGAACCAAATTTCTATCTAAATACAGCTACTGCACTGCAATCCCAGACTAGAAGTCAATTATATTCAGCACAATAAACACACAACTACCACACTGCAATCCTAAACTAGAAGTCAATTATATTCAGCACATTCAATACACAACAAAAAAAAAACAGTGTTATCCCACAAGTGGAGTGTAGGAAGAGTGGTGTAAGTGTACCTTACCCCTACCTTGAAAATATATAGAGGCTGTTTCAGATACATCCTCAGCTCAAAGCCAGATGAAAAAGACATCAATTAGCACCAAGTAGTAAAAACAACACACCTCAATCTCAGACACACAAAAACAAATCATTCTGTCTAAAATACAACTACCACACTGCAATCCTAAACCACAATTCAATATATTCAGCACACTAAACACCAACGACAACAAACACATGGAGTCTTGGGAGGGTGGTGTGTACCCATACCTTGTCCATACCATGAGAAGGTATAGAGGCAGTTTCTCAGAGACCCTCAGCTCAAAACAGATGAAATAGACATCAATTAGCAACAAGCACGTGTCTCAACCCCAAACACACAAGAAAGACAATTGTTCTATCTAAAATACAACTACCACACCCCTCAACCCAAACTAGTTCGGGTCCACTACGATCTTACTAAAGACCTGCTGCAGAGCTAATCCTTGTTCTACTGATTTGCTAGTTGCTGCCACGATTTCTTTATAACCAATCAAAGCACCTCTATTTGCTAATTCAATAAAATCCAAACTTTATACCAAAAAAAAAACCCATCACATATTTACAAACAATAAAATCCTAAAACAAAGATTTAACATTAAAAAATTACCAATTCCAGAGGAGATTCAGCACGTGGCTGATCTGCAGAACTGAGCGATGACATTTAAACCAAACAACCCCTGAACAGAAAAAAGGAATTTCTTTTACCATTCTACAATCTATAAAGTTTTCAATTTCAAAAACAAAACACGGTTAAGGAAAAACCCTAACCCTAGAAAGAGAAGAACCAAAGAAAAATGGCCTACTTCTGCAGAACACGGAAAAATTGGAACACACAGGAGCAAGAGAGGGGAAAGGGATATTAAAGGTGGGTGGCGGTGAGGGGGGAGAGGGAGAGGAGGTGGGTGGGTGGAGGGAGATGCAGCTGTGCACAACACGAAAGAGGTGCACGAAAGTTTTGGATGTACCTTTTCACACCCAGCGACACTTATTTATTGAAGAGGAAAAGGGGGAAAAGGAAATGAAACGATGGCGTTTCCGTATTCTTTGGAACTATCTAGTGTCTAATGAACTCAATTTTGAAAAGGGAGAGAAAATAGAAAAAATAAATAAAATGGAACCACCTAATGGGCTTAATGACACAATGGAACACTATTCAACAAAATTTAATTAATACAATACATAAATGTATTTTTTAACTTGATCAATAATTGAGTTGACATGACACATATGTTTTACATGTTAAATCATAAGATATACGTCATGTAAGACATGTGTTATAGATTAAATGTCTACTTGCGAACACCTAAAAACATAAATGCTAATAAATGTTAAGTTAAAGAGCATATTATGATACAATTTATTTATATATCGAGATAAGGGTAACTTATATTATGATACAATTTATTCAAATTCTTCTGTCTAAAATACAACTACCGCACTGCAATCCTAAACTACAAGTCAATTATATTCAGCACATTAAACATGCAACGACAACAAAACCCAATGTAATCCCAAAAGTGAAGTTTTGGGAGGGTGCCGTATATGCAACCTTACTCCTACCTTGAGAAGGTAGAGAAGGCCATTTTAATAGACCCTCAGCTCAAAACAGATGAAATTAACGTCAATTAGCAACAAGAAGGAACAACACATGGTTCATTCCTAATCATACAAAAAAGACATTTATTTTGTCTAAAATAAAACTACCACACTGCAATCCTAAACTAGAAGTCCATTATACTCAGCACAATCAACATACAACAACAACAAAACCCATTGTAATCCGACATGTGGGATCTGGGAAGGGTGTTGTGTGGGAGGAGTGGTGTGTAGGTAGACCTTAACCCTACCTTGAGAACGTATTCCGATAGACCCTCAGCTCAAAACAGATAAAAAAATGTCATTAGCAACAAGCAAGAACAAAAATAGACACCTCAGCCCCAAACACACAAAAAAGACAATCATTCTATCTAAAACACAACTACCCCACCTCATTACCAAACTGGTTTCGAGTCCACTACGATCCGACTAAGACCTGACCTGCTACGTAGCTAAACCTTGTTCTATTGGTTCGATAGTAGTTACCAAGACAATATCTTTATATTCATCAAACAAACCTCTATATGCTAATGCAATAAAAATCCTTAACTTAATACAACAACAAAAAAAGCATACCCATCACTTACTAACAATAAAGTCCTAAAATGCTTACTTCAATAAAAATCCAAACTTTATACCAAAAAAACAAAAATAAACATACCCATCAAATGCTTAAGAGCAATAAAATCCAAAACAAACATTTAACATAAAAAAAAGATTACCAATTCCAGAGGAGATTCAGCACATAGTTGACCTGCAGAACTGAACGATGACAATTAAACTGAACAACTCCTGAACAGAAAAAAGGAATACCTTTACCATTCTACAATCTCCAAACTTCTCAAAAAACAAAACATGGTTAAAAGTAAAACCCTAACCCTAGAAAGAAAAAAATGGCGGACTTTTTGCAAAACACAAAAAAATTGGAATACGCAAGAGCAAGAGAGAGGAGGTGGGTATTAAGGGGTGCGGGGTAGGGGGTAGAGGAGGCGGGTGGGTGGGGTGGTGGGTGGGTGGTGGTAAATGCAGCAGTGCACAACACGAAAGAGGTGCACGAAAGTTTTGTATGTACCTTTCCACACAGCGACACTTCTTATATATATGTTTGAAGAAGAAAAGGGGAAAAAGGAAATGAAACGACACCGTTCCCGGGTCCTTTTAGAACCATCTAGTTCCTATTGAATAATGTTTTTTGGAAAAAAAAAACATAAAATAAATAAGATGATATGTGAACGTATCTTTTAATTTGGTCTGAATTAATATTTACGTTCTTTAATTTTGAACAAAAAGATATTTGAATTGCAAAAAACTTAAATAAGTAAACAAATTTATTCTATTTGTGAAAGATGTGTGTATACTTATTTATTTAATTTTAGTAATAATTTGAGTGTTAGATTTACATACTCTCACAATTGGAAGGTATATATATTAATTAAGATCAAGTTTAAAAATATATTACGTATTCAGTTGAATTTTATTTGCATTCGAATTTCATGGGATTTAGATTTTTTAAAAAAAACACATTTCATTGTTTAGCGTTTTTTTTTTTGAAATTCAATTTGTAAATTTGTTAATATGGATAAAAAAAAATATATAGATTGAGATGATAAAATAATTAATTTTGCTAATGTCAATTAACTAAACATGATTAAAATAACGAAAAAAATAGATATATTTATAGGTGTTTTTTTTTTAAACATTGTCCTCCTAATAATTTAAATTCGCACATTATATTTATTTTGTATTATGTGTAATAATTGTAGAAGATATAAAATTTATCGAAAATAATTATATCTTCATATTTATTTTAATAATTCACTATCTAATTTACGATTTCATATTTTTATAGATTAAATAAGCTAATAACATGATATCAGACTTTCCATAATATGAATTGCTCGAGTATTCTCTAACATATTAAAGAATTAAATCTTATTTATATTCTCTCGTATGATATGTTTTATCTTATCACTCATCGAAATAATAATGAAATCTATTCATCATAAATGATAGCTAGTAAAAATAATTATCAATTATGATGATTATAATAGGTTGATAATAAAATTGACCATATTGAGACTTTTTTTATAAAATATATATATATATATATATATATATATATATATATATATATATATATATATATATATATATATATATATATATATATATATATAAAAATGTTATATAAAATGACGACTCAGCTAAAAATTCTCTTTTTCCGTGCCACAGCAGAGGAAAGCGCGGTGAACGACAGCTCCATTTCGAGATCTACCTATTCGAATCTCCGATCGCCGATCGCCGGTAAGCCGTCGTCGTCTCTTAACGTACGAACTTTTTTTTCTATCGAATGAACTAGTTTGACATTCATCTGCATGAAGATCGATCTGCCTTATAGTTCGTAATTTGCTGATTTCTAGATGTTGTTCCGATGCTCTTAGAAAAAATTGTTGTCTCAGTAATTCATCCTCTAACTTTGAAAAAAAAATTGAAATGGATCAAAGTCAAACGTGTATTAGTGGACACATTCAGCTTGTAACTGTAGTTGACAAGTATACTGTGGATTTAATGCACCTCGAGCTGGCCTGGATACAAACAAGTAAACTAAAATAAAGCATACATGCGGATGTAAGCAATGGAAGTGTTGAATGTGCTTTGATTTAGCAAATAGAATTTGAGCTATGTGATTTCCAAGTATGAAGTTAGTTAGAGGTTGATTTGGAATTTGATTGTTTAGGAATAAGGTTACTAGTACGTGTTTTCTGATAATTTTTTTAATTATAACCTTGTTGTTTTTGTAATTTTTTCGTGCTTTGCTTTCATGTATCTGGATTTGATCATCTTGCTATAGTTATTATACTTTTAACCAATAGCTGAAGTGTCTTCTGTCGTGATAATGGGCGGGCAATGGGCATGCACATTGCTTGAGCAAGAAATATGTACATATTCGCGTATGAGAACTTTTGAGAGTATATCTTCATTAAATCTACATCAATGATCATAATGGGTTAGTGAGCATTGTGACATACAGCTTTCCTGTCACAAAATCATGGATCTGCCTCTACTTCTTGCATATTTGACTATGTTTAACAATTTTAGAAATAGAGAGTTGCAGAATGTTTACACGGTCGATACTGTATGTACAGTGTGGTTACTGAAGGCTGAAATTTTAAGATTGTTATTTTCTGGCTAAATACTGTTATTGGTTTTGAGGAATATCATTTCCTAAATAATGCTTGATAGTTTCTGTGGCGATTGAAAAGGATCCGAGAACATAATCGGTCATCTGAATTTCTATGAGAGGTGTTGTATCTTTTTTTTTTTGCACTAGAAATGAACTATTACTGTGTCGATCTCATGTACTCGGGGGATTTCATATATAATGGTATTTATCATTATAGAGTTGTCAAGAGAACTGATGCAGCCTTTTGCGGTGAGGTTATTGGAATAATTCACTTATTGTGTTTAAAGTTATACTTGTTACAATGTCCATTGCAAATTGAAATTGTGGAAAATGAGTGTTGGTGGTATCATTAGCAACTTTTGAGGAATAACTAACAAGGACAGGGAGAAGGCTTTCTGGCCTGGGTTGTACATGTGAGCTTGTAAGTATCAGAGAGAACAGGTTCTATATTTAACATTACCAATTTTTTAAAAGAGAAGTATCAGAGAGAACAAGGTGAAAAGACGCAGAGTATTGTAAGAACCACACCTAGAATTCTTTGGAATAACTCCTCAACAAAGGCTGCAGATAAAGCAACATAAGTTCTGGACAAGTCATGGAGTCAATTCATAATGCTTCATAGTTGAATAGAACATAATTATTAAATTCTTTTTTTTCTTACTAGCAGTATTTGACTTCATAGACATATGGCATAAATACAGTATGAAATAGATAATTAAAGATCCAATCTGCATAAATGTTCTGCAAGATACAAAGTACTTCAGAGCTACATGCAACAAAAGATTTTTCCTTCTCTTTCCGCAAGATGCTATTTGTTTTTATTTTTGAAATTAATTGTATTACCATAGTCAAAGTGACCGGAATTAGTGAAAGTTTTATATTGATTCTCTGATCTTTATAAAGGATCTCGTCCATTTTTCAGTTACACAGAGATGGGGCTGTCTTTCACCAAACTTTTTAGTCGCCTCTTTGCTAAGAAAGAAATGCGTATTCTTATGGTTGGTCTCGATGCTGCTGGTAAAACCACAATTCTCTACAAGCTCAAGTTGGGGGAAATTGTTACTACTATACCTACAATTGGTACGTTTCTTGTGAATCCAATTCTTATTCTTCTCAATTCTCATATGTTGCACCTTATAGTCTAATTATTTCTTACTAATTGAGGGATATACTACCGAAAGTAAATTATGTTGATATATCTAGCCGAAAAGCAATATGCAAGATGGCTGATATTTCTTGATAGGTGAAAATGCCTCGAAATCTTGCAAAATCCTTTCAAATCATTTGCATCCACACATGTGTTGATAAGATGACAGTGTAATCTTTGAGCAAAATGACTTCTATTTTTGGGGATCAAACAACTTTTAATGGCTGCAATTTTTGCCTTTGGCTTTGTGTCTTCATCAAGTGCTTGTCATGTGTGTTGTGTACTTGTGGAGAAGATCCTTCTCTTATCATTCGTGTTGTCAATTTTTTCTATGCAGCTGGTTTTTTCAACTATCTAATCTATCTTTTGGCAGGCTTCAACGTGGAAACAGTTGAATACAAGAACATCAGCTTTACCGTGTGGGATGTTGGGGGTCAGGACAAGGTAAGAAGTTCTTATGTCCTATAACTCATATATTCATTTGAAACCTTGTAATTCTCTGGGTTTATTTCTAGTTACTGGGGGTTCTTCGATTAGCCTGTATTTGTAGTGTATAATTTTCTCATGATTTATGCTTCAACAACCAGATAAATGTCATTTTTGGCCTAAATAATTTCACTCTCTTTCTACTTGTGTGTAAAAAATATGAGAGCTCATTTGATGTTCAAAATGGTTACCTTGCAATTATATTTTGCATGCTCTGAGAGCTACAATTCTTGGTTGGTGAAGAGAGCTGAAAGAGAGACACCACCATTGGAACAATCTTGAACCAAACCAAATATATCTACTTTGAAAAATTGTAGTTATTAAGTTTTCTGGAACTGTTCTAGCCACCGATACTTTTAAGCAAGTGTTTGTTTTCAAATGGGTAAAATATATTGAAGCAAAAAACTAGCTTGTGGTTGAGCTGTTTTTGAATTTGATTCATACTCGAGCTTGATTTTGCATAAGGCTTATATGCAATTGGAGCCACGCTTAAGTGCAGAGCATATATTATGATTCACTGATTGTATACAACCTGCAGTCAATGGAGGGTTCAGATCCATGATCTTCAAGAACTTTTATCTAAAGTGCCCCCAGTCTAGTGAGGTATTGAGTTGCAAATGTTTGCTAGCGAATTATCTCTTGGAGACAGAGGTGGTGTCTGTTATGTACTGGTGACAAGGTGGACATTTGTATCTAGTGGAGCAGACTAGTTAATTACTGGAGAAAACTATCTGAATGTGGTGTCGTTCTTGAAGGTTCTTGGAGTCCCTTTGGTGTTTAGCACATAAGAGGAGGCTACTTTTAGGCACATGGTTTCCTAGGTTAATCGTGGTTAAGTCTCCAAAATATGATCGGTATGTGGCCAGCATTGCATTCCGAATGGAGACATGGACCTTCTTTGGTTATCTTGCTGCTAACATTGGCTATTCTTCAGTACAATTGTTCTTTCTGTTCGAGAGGAACAAAGTTAAAGTTTATATAGTATTTTGATTCTTGGAAACTTGAGAAGTAATACTGATCTGCTTACTTCTTTGTGATCTGTTTGCAGATTCGACCTCTATGGAGGCATTATTTCCAGAACACTCAAGGCCTCATCTTTGTGGTTGACAGCAATGACAGAGACCGTGTTGTTGAGGCAAGGGACGAGCTTCATAGGATGTTGAATGAGGTAATCATTGACATTTAGAAAGTGAAGTTAGAGCAATCTTTTATAATAGATCATAGATGTCTCGAATCCTCATTTCATTTTTCTGCAGGATGAACTAAGAGAGGCTGTGCTGCTTGTTTTTGCAAACAAACAAGATCTTCCAAACGCAATGAATGCAGCTGAAATCACCGACAAACTTGGACTTCATTCTCTTCGACAGAGGCACTGGTAATTTACACTGATACCATCATTTGTTCAGTCTGGTTCTGACTAGCTAAGAGCGCCTATTATCTAATGCCTTCCTCTTTCGATCTCTCAGGTATATCCAGAGTACATGTGCCACTTCTGGAGAAGGGTTATACGAGGGACTTGATTGGCTATCGAACAATATTTCAAACAAGGTATGTGTTTATTGACAATCAAACCCCTTCCCTTTCCCTTTCCGATATCGTTGTCAGCCTCTCTTCTCATTTCTAATTTGTTCTATCTGGTTCAATTTCAGGCTTAGAGCATCAATTAGATTCTGCCCTCGCTTGTCGCTCGCTTACCTATATCTGGAGTATAGATGTTAAACACCGTTTGGTTATTTTGGATAGAAAGAAGATCAATTTCTGAAAAATATCCTGCATTTCTTTCCCTTTTCATGCTTTGGTTAGTTGCTACTTTGCTTGCAATGTAAAACATTAATATTGTTTTTTCGTATCGTAGCCGGAGCTACTTTAACCCTTTTAATTGTGTCTTCCCCGTCTCCAACACACTTCATCTTCACCCTAGCTTCCGACCCTTGTAATTTTGTATATATATCCATGAATAAATTGATGATATAAAGAAGCATTGATGATATAAAGAAGCATGGAATGGACGTTTCAATTGGATATGGTTACCGGCATCTAATCAAAATTGCATTTTAGTGCTATTTTCATAATATATATATATATATATAAAATGACCTTTTTAAAAGCTTGGGTTATCAATTGCTACAAATATGGAAGACAACAACCAATATCTTTATAAATGTAAAAATAAACTTAATGAATTCATTTTCCAAATTTTAATAAAATGACAAAGCAACAAACTCGTTAAATTTATTACAGTTTGATCACAAAGTGGAACTATAGAAGATCCTCTTTTAAGATCAAACAGTTATCATCGAATAAAGTATGATACACAATCAGATTGTGAAAAAGCAATGCAAATAAAATAAATAACTGGTCTCTTGATCTACAACACTATGAATATATCATTTTGTGTGATCAGAGACTTCTTTAGTAGTAGTAGAACTAGTGTTCTTTCTAAAAGGAGAGTATCCTTTCTGCAACAATTTTTCGACTTCCTCAAATTGCATCCCTTTGGTTTCAGGAACGAGGAAGAAGATGGCTATGAGTCCAAGAAATGAGAACCCCGCGAATAAGAGGAAGGTGCCAGAGGACCCAAGATGTTCAGTTAACGTCAAGAATGTTAGACTAACGATTAGATTTGAAGTCCAGTTTGAAACTGCTGCAAGGCCTCCACCAACTCCTCTGAATCTCAAAGGGTAAATCTCAGAGTTGACAATCCAAGGAACTGTTCCCATACCTGGTGAGTATACTATGATGTATAGCCCAAGGAAAACAACTGCTAAGAACCCAAACTTGCTTGGACAACCTTTTGTGTACCAAACGCGGTTCTCTGCTTTGCAAGCTCCTGCTAATGCATCTGTTTTTGCTATACATGCTCCAGGAGCATACTGCACAGTGAAAACACAGAATCAAAATCAATGAGATGTAGACGAGGAGAGAGAGCTAGACGAGCATCTGATACATCTAAAACTGCTATACTAAGAAGGCGTGATGCCTATATTGCTAAAGACTCTCCCAAAATGATGTTGCACCTATGTCAGATAACTCAGATCCTCCAAAATTGCATAGCGTTTGGAGGATTCGACACATACACACTAGATAGTAGTTTTCTTGAAGAGTCCGAGTAACATAGGATAGGATGACAATAGAGAGAGTTATACACTCACTTTAGACTCTAGTTATATGAATCTTTTGTAATGATCTGAACTTATATCATGATAATATTCAAGTTTCAAAAGTTTCTCTTGAGTCCAGTCATCATATAAACTGGGACGGAGAAAGTACTTTTGAAACGAGTTATAGAGTTTGTTAGTGAGTTACCAGATTGGTGTTTGAACAAAATCCACACTCAGCTTCTTTAGCCAAACACTTCATGCAATTCCAAGAGGCTGGATTTGGGGCATTGGCATAGGCTGTACAAGTATTGTTGCCAAAATGAGCAGTTTCAGTACCGCTGATAGCTGGTGCATGAGCAGATGCTTGGAAGAAGACGACTGACAAGACAATGAGGCACGAAATGATTCCAATCATAGAGATGATCATGAGTCTCCTCCTACCATATCTATCGACAAATAACATACTGACTATGGATCCAATCGCGTTAAGACCAGAGGTGATAAGTGATAATGCCACAGCAGTCTTATTAGATGCAATTCCAGCAAATTGCATGATAGTTGGACTGTAGTACATAACAGTGTTGATACCCACAAATTGTTGAGCCACTTGAACACAGATACCAGCATACAGTGCTCTTCTACATGTTGTGTTTCCGAATGCTTTCTTGATTTGAGTAAACGTGCTACTTCCAATGGATCCTTCGATTTCCTTTTCTTCTTCAACCGACTTCTTCATTGCCATCATCTCGTTCTCTACTTCCTCTGCTGGATAAATCTTAGATATGATATCCCTCGACTCATCCACTTTACCCTAATATATACGAATCAAACATCATTAGTACAATAGTTTTTTGCCAACATTTCCTTACAATTGGTCGTTGATTCGAGTACCTTTCTGTAAAGCCATCTTGGAGACTCAGGGAGGGCAAGCATGAGTAAGAATTGAATAATTGCTGGAAGTCCAGCAACACCAAGCATCCAACGCCACGTTCCTTTCACCTGAGACAAGCCGAATATGAGTTACTATATATGGTTCCACAGATCCACGATGGCATTTAACACGTCTAGTCTCATACAAAAAGAAGGAAAAAGATTCGTAGTAGTTACATCAGTGAAGGCAAGATTGATTAGATACGAAAGAAATTGTCCTCCAGTAATGAGTAAACCGTTCATGCTAACAAGAGCACCTCTGATCTTATGAGGAGAAGCTTCTGATATATAAAGCGGAGCTGTCATTGATGCCATTCCAACTCCCAAACCAACGAATATCCTTCCAAGGATGATCAGCCAAGGAGCTGGTGCAAGAGCCATAATGAGTGCACCAACAAAGAAGAGAACATCAGCTATGAGAATAGAAAGTCTCCTTCCGAACTTATCATTAAGCCAACCACCAGTAGCAGCACCGAAAATTGCACCAGCAACAGCCATACTAACAATAGTTTCTTGTAGCCACGTCTTCCTATCAACTTCTTTGAAATCTTCCCTTATGTAGAGAAGCGCCCCAGAAATAACTCCGGTATCGTAACCAAATAAAAATCCTCCAATGCCAGCTGAGAAAGCTAGCTTCATAATATAAGGAGTTCTCCATACTGACCTCCAGCACTCTGTAAACTCTGTTTTATCTGCTTTGCTTATTCCTCCCTCTACCATTTTGTTTGCATTCACACTTCTTGATTACTTCAACTACAACATTACAACAACGACGACGACAATTAGAGGCGGATCCAGAATTCAAAATTTGACGTACAAAATTACAACGACCACAATCAGAGGCGGATTCAGAATGACTTTAGTATGATCTTTTCAACACTAAATCCATTGCACATTTTCAATAATAGGCTATGTTGTTCGGACTCTCCAACAATATTGTTGCGTCCGTGTCAGATCATGAACAACTATTTCAGAGGATCCAACACCCAAAGGGTCCAAGCAACACAGATTATAGTATTTAGAGGATCCAAGACGCACCCGTCACATAGGCATTACGTTCCGTATAAAAATACTAGGTTCAATCAAACATCCTTCAACGAAAAATTATACCATATTTATCAAAAAGTCATATATATATGTATATATATTCGAAACTCAAAAATCACTTATTTATTAAATCTTGAACTACCTTAACAGAATTCTTGATTTCACCCCTCAACATTACATCACTATTTACAATAACAATGCCTCAATCCCATCAGGTAAGTTGGACTTAGAGCCTGTTTGGCTCAGCTTAAAAGCTGGTCAAACTGACTTAAAAGCTGGTTTTGACTTATTTAGCTGTTTGGCAATACTCAAAACAGCTTATTTTAAGCTAAAAAAAACTTATTTTAAGTCAAAAGTTAAAAGCTGGGGTAGGGGTGCTTTTTTTTTTTAGCTTATAAGCTGTTTTAAGTTGACCACATTTTTATCTTTTTGTGCTTACTATTTTTGTACAATCTCCAAATTATCCATATAACCCTAACATTTCTTTCTTCCATTTTTTCCTTTTCACGTTTGACATAACAACTTCAGCACTTTTATCCAAACGCATAACTGCTTATTTTAAAAATAAGTTTCAGCACTTTTAAAAGTACTTTTTTAAAGCTGCTTTTATTAAGCCCATCCAAACGGGCCCTTAGCTATATGACTTGTTCAAAATTAACATCATCATAGTCCAATTCGATCAAACCAAACAATTTTTACACGAACCAATATATAAATATTTATAAACCACTAAAAATTTTCAACAAATATTAATATCTAAACCTATAATCAATACGTAAAAATTGAATCTATCAAATTTAAATCTTGAATCAGCCTCTATTAATCCAATATTATATTATACACATTACATGAAAAATTGAAACAATTATATAACTTTTATGATAATTATAGACTTAGAACAATTCTTCACACAATTTGAACATACAAAGGTTTAAGATAAACATAATTACAAAGAAAAGATCATGAAATTCATAAGAACTTTGCTAATAATAATTTTTTTAAAAATAAATATTACCTTAAATTTGAATAATGAGATTGAGAAATGAAGGTAGAAGGGAGAAATATAAAGCTATTTAATTTTATAGCGTTGTTTATATTTCTATTTTAAAAAAATTATTATCATTAATTTTATTTTTTAAGTAAATATAACCACTTGTTTCCTTATTTTACTCACGGATATATCTGGAAATATAAGATTCTCCTTTAATTTCGATAGGTTATAAACAGATTATAATGTAGAGATATATATGGAATAATAATTCCTAATTATTGTGATCTTATCTGATATTTTTAAGATATATAATTAAAATCAAGTGTTTCTTTTAAACTGGATAAGAATTTATCTTAATTATATCAACATATATCTAATCCATTTATATAAAGCATAATTTTGGTATTAAATGAGTTTAAAAATTTAATTGACTTGGTCAATGAAGAATTTATATAAGAGACTCCAAAATTTTTTTGAAACTAATGCGTAAAAATAATTATTGCATTTAATTACCTTATTTAGAATATATGAGGGGGGAAATAATATTGTAATATACTCTTTAGAAATGAGAATTTTTTTTAAACACTTTGCAAGTAATTTTGAAAATGTTATAAGACCAATCAAATCATCCTCCCGTGGGTTTCAACAAGAATCCTTTACATTTGTGATCCTTAAACTAAATTACTTGATAAAACACTCCACAAATTAACAAGTATCGTGCAAAATAAATATGTTTTTGGTTGTCTCACAATGATGAACATATTTCGAATTGAAAGATAGACCATATCAAGTATGAAAGAATGCCTTGAGTACGCTAGCAACACATCTCCCTTCTGTTCCAACCACAAAGATGAAACAAACACATTCTCTGATTCACGAGATTGCTCAACGTCCTGCCACATTCTGTAAAAGACAGCAATTAAGATGCAAATTATAAAAAAACAAGTAGTGTTCCTATCAGCCGTTGTTTTCCCGAGGCAAGATGCAAACTTTGAAAATGATATATTGTTCATTTACTGTTAAAACAAGTTTGATAACAAAACATAAGCCACCACATGTTTCATCTGTGCTGTGCAATGCATGCACAACAACAATTTTCTGTATAGTAGAAATCCAAGAGCCCCAACTCCAGGTTAGAAACTCTAGTCAAGTGTGCCAAGCTTTCTCCTTGGCAGGGTTTGAACACACCTAACCCAAATATCATATGTCCTGTCCAAACCCCTCAGTATACCACACACCTAACCAAAATATCATATGTCCTGTCCAAACCCCTCAGTATACCATACTCTGCAGCTACTATATATTTCTGAAGCAATGAATTCTCACAGCCTTAATTTCCACAAAAATAGTCATCGGAGAAGGGTGTTATATACTCATTATATACCAGCTGGGCAACTGTTGTTTTGCCTAATCCTCCCATACCAATAATGGAAATTGAGGATAGGCTGCGGTCAGCAGCAGGTACTAACTTTGCCACAATATGTGCCTTTTCAATGTTTCTTCCAACAACTAAGGATTCATCCACGAGTGAAGTGCTACCGGAGTATGTCACTACTTTTGTGGTCTTCCCAGATTTGAGTGCTTCAAATTTTAAAAGAGTGTCCATTTCTCCAGCTAGAGCCTCTAACATCTCCCTCAACTTAACAATATCATGAGGCATATCTAGTTTGCCAGATGACAAGACTTCACTGCGTAAAGAAGGTTGTTTTGTAAATGTTGTCGGTCCCAGAGATGAAGAAGTGTCTGCTGCAAGTTTAGACTTTGTATTATCATCTAGTAGAGTCGACGCCTTCTCTAGGAGATCACTAGAAACATAAGAAAATTTGTTGAGATCTTCAAGCCAGAGTTGCCATGCCTTTTTACTGTTCTCGCTAGAGAAACAACGGTCAGCCTCCACACGCTCAATCATACCTGTGATTCTTGCAACAGCTCTTTCTAGCTTTCTTAATTCATTATCAGCCTCCCAGATTTTTCCAATTTCTGCTACAGTAAAGTTGGTTAGCTTTTTAAGGAAAATATACGCGGTAGCAGAGAGAAAGCCTGCACGTAGCTCCTCCTTCACGCCCATCTCTCACGCACAATGTGCACCTTCTAAATGAAAGAAAATAAATAATTTCGTTACTACTATTTGCAATAGAAACCTAAAAGACAAGGGATATACAAAAATAAAAATAGGACAAATATGCAGCTATTAAGGTAAAGGAAGGAAAACATTGCACCTCGTAAAATTAAAATACAAGAATGCAGATCAAATCACTTCACTATATAGTGTTACTGGTCTTCTTCATCGGCATTCGAAGTGCACAAACAAGCAAGCTTATTCATCCCAACTTACTTATGGCCAAGATACAATTGTGCAGATTATATTTTTACGAGACTTATTCGAGATTGTTTTCATTATTCATTAGTTTCAAACATTGGTAAAGATTTCTGGTTATCAGAAAAAGAACTTTTTCATATTAACACAGTGTAAGGACATACAGATGAGTCTGCATCAACAACACCAACTTACGTTGTACCATCGTCATGAGAACACAGCACCTATATGTTACCATTATACCAATAAAAGGCCAACAAAAAGTAAGATAAGTTTGTATTTTCCATGTTAGGTCTTAAGAGATGCAAAAAAGTGAATAAAAGCTAAAGATTTTCAAGAATTTAGAGCTATAATCTACACTGGTACACAAACACCAGTATAAGCAATAATATGAAATACCACGAGGAAAGAAAAAGATAAAAGCGACTGTATTCACCACATTCGAACTTAAGAGAGGCAAAAAGGTGGTAAAAGATAAAGATTTTCAAGAAAATAATTGTTCTACACATACAAGTAGACTTGATTAGGTTGTTAGCCATTGAGAAGAGAAAAACTCCTATACCTGGACCGTATACCAGTCACAACGCCGCCAGACTACATTTGAAGAACCTAGAGCCACTTTCAGATTTTAGTGACTTCAACAACATTAACAACAAAAAACTCCACTCAAACTAGTTGTGTGTGTAGTTTGTATTAAAATCACACAACTCTACTACTTCCAATAACATTTTGTGATAGCACAACTAACTTAAAGCTGAAAAATGAAACTTGGTTTAGATTTCTTCTCTCAACACAAAAGCATAGGGAAGAGTAGCACCGTTTTTCACCCTAACCATTTCTTGATTTGTTTGTCTCATACAAATATTGCTACAACTAATTATTTTACAAATCTGTCTCCTTGCCATTTACTTTTTCACAATCATAATTTGTCTTAGATACAATAAATTCAATTTTTTTAACACTAATGTTAAATAGGTCACTCTACAACAACAACAACAAAAAAAAAAAAAAAAGTATACCAACAAAGGTCTTCAAACTCATTCACAAATACAATGTATGAGCTGAACTATCGAAGTAATGAAATGCATATACATACCCCCTACCAGACGGACATTGGTGACAGCTCTTCTTTTCAGCTGGAAATTTTGTGTCTGAATTGTTCTCTCTGTGCGTGGATTTATTAATTAATTAAAATTTATCGTATATAAATGATACTCACATTTATATAAGCAGTATATTTCATATATTAATACTAACATTATTTATTTATTTTTCATCTAAAATGTATAAAACGTAGAAAAAATTACATAAATTGATATATTTTAATAAATAGTTACTGATTTTAACAATACTTTTTATTCATTATCATTTATAGTAATAATATGTTAAATCTTCAATATATAACGTAATTAGTTTATAAAAAAAATATAATGTTTTATTTATACAAAAAGAAAAAGTCAAAAGTCATAAGAAATCAACATTGACTATACAATATAGCTAGCCAAAAATCATAAAAGGCATACAATAACTATACAATATAGCTTATCAAAAGTCATCAAAAATATAAAACGACTATACATTATATCTTACCTATAAGTATACAGTTAATTATTTTTTATTTACATAACAAATAGCAAAAGTCATACACATGCTATACTAAGCAGATATTATGATGCACTCAACAAATATAGAGATGTTTTTATTTACATAGTATAATAGACAAAAATTCAGAGAATGTATATATTTATTATACATTATGATACACTTAAAAAAATTGAATATAGCTTAATTATACATAAATTAGATATGAAATTCTCTCAATATTTTGAATAGCAAGCGAGGGGGGGGGGGGGATTATGAGGAGAAAGGATGCATCTGACCATTTTTTTAATAAATAATACGACCAAACAACCATTTGTCGATGACATTCAACGTATTATCCTTTTTATGGGCTAGTTTTTAATATATACAATAAAATAACTAGTTTATAAGAAATATAGTCATATTTTTGTGAAAAAAATTCACATATAACCTCTTAAAAATAATTAATTACTCTTTATAGCTATAGTTTGATAATTATAATTTGTAGTTACATGTTACATGGAGGAGAGAGGCAAGAGAGGGGGAAAAGAGTGGGAGAAAGGTGAATTGTATATGTATATTGGTTAGATAATTGTATATTATACATATGTATTTGTATATATGGAAAGAGAGATTGGAAGAGGGAGGAAAGAGGCGAGCGAGACTAGAAGAGGGTATAGAGAGGCGAGAGAGAGAGAGAGAGGTGAACTGTATATGTATATAATTGTATATTATACAGATGCATTGTATATATGGCAAGCGGGATTGAGGAAAGAAGCGAGCGAGATTGAGAGATCGAGGAAAGAGGCGATTGAGAGAGGGCAAAGTGAGGGAGAGAGGTGAATTGTATATGTATATAGGTTAAATAATTGAAAATTGTACGTATGTATTTGTATATCTTGGTGAATTGTACATATACAAACGCGACTAATCATACAAACTCGAAGTTAGCTCACGTAATTAATGTATAGTGTTAGTCCAAGTGATAATTATTGCAAACTATAGATATGATGAATAATTAAATAATATAAGTTTACTTAGCCGCGTAATTTTCTCAATTTTATTTACATACAAAATAATTAGTCAAAAGTCACAGGAAGTATGCTATACAATATAGCTCTCCAAAAGTCATAGGAAGTATGCTATACAATATAGCTCTCCAAAAGTCATAGGAAGTATGCTATACAATATAGCTCTCCAAAAGTCATAGAAAGTATACATTGGTCATACAATATATCTTACTTATAAATGAGCTATTTATTGAATATACATGATAGATACATTCAAAACGTTTAACTTAGTTTAACTAAACATGAAGTATATACTAGTTATTTATTCTCGATCACCTCTAAAATCTCCTAAATCTAGATATGACATCCTCTTGATATTTCAAGTCTTTTGATATATAATTCACTTGAGAGGATTCATGTTTTTGGTATGTCGATTTTAAAAAATAGGACGAAGAAGAATGACAAAGACAAATAAGATGATTCAATCAAAATCACCCTAAATTTTATATATGAAATCCTTTCAATGTTACAAGTCTTTTGATATATAATTTGCTCGAACCAATTCATATATTTATACGTTAAATTTTAAAGGAGGGAGAGGAGGAAGAACCAATTTCAATAATGGAAAAATTACCTAAATTGATAGATTTTAATAAATAATTACTGGCTTTAGCAATACTTTTTATTTATTACAATTTATAGTATTACTATGTTAAATCTGCAATATGTATTAAAAGTGAATTATGTATGAAATATATGTGAATTATAATTGTTTTTTAAAATATATAATGTTTGTTTGGTAAAAGTTTGACACATTGTGTTATAAGTGAATTAAAATGTGTGATAAATCAATTATTTATCATTGAAATTTATATTATTATGTGAATAACTTGATAATATTGAATTAAACTTGTATTATAAATGAATTAAAAATGATCAAGTGAAAAAGAAATATATTATTGCTATAAATGATAAATATTTTGTTATTATAATATATTTATGTAAGTTTCCGTTCAATAATTTTGAAAACTGGGCCAAATCTTTTTATAAAGCAAAGGGCCCAATGGTTACTTCGCATATATTATAGTAAGTTAATATATATATATGATATAATTTACTTTCCTCCTGTTCTAGCAATACTAGAAAACAAGCAACAATTTGCACAAAGTTTTTGCAATACTATAAAACAATCAAGAGAAGTTCATAATGACAAAGCAATAGACATTAACTAAGCAATCTTGATCCATATTTAGGTTTTGGAGTCACATCATAACCGTCAATATAGATTGAAGGTATGTGTTTAATCTTAAACCAATCTTCACCTTGAGGTTTGAGGCAGCGTTTCGTTACTAGAGGGCAATTTGATATCTCAAAATGTTGTAGCTTTGATGGAAGTTTTCCCTTAGAAAGTGATTGAAGCTCACGACACATCAAAATTGACAAGGTGTTGAGAGTGGTAAAACTCGAAATCATAGGAATTTCAACAAGTTTAGGACAAGTGCTCGCGGTTAACTCAAGGAGACATGGAAAATCCCCATCCTCCACGCCTGTCCAACTTTCAAGTTTTGGCATTCCAACCATTGTTAGTTTTTCAAGCTTTGGAAATGCAGCTCCTCCTCCTGTTTGGCTCCCCCAATATCTGCAAAAATGATGATCGATCCACCTTACCTCATGCATCTCATAAATTTTAAGACTCTTGAGTGATTGTAGACCTCCAAGAGATGGCAAATAGCTACAATTTGTAGATACGCGGAGAGTGATGCTCAAAATGTTGGGCAAACATGACATCCATGTAGGAAATCTAGAGCCACAGTAGTAAGATACTGTCAACTCTTTGAGGCTCAAATGGGGCTCAAGACATTCCAATATATCCTCAACTAAGTCGAAATTATTAACTGTATTTTGTTCCCATGTCAAATCCAACTTAGTAAGACGTTTCTTGTACATCTCAACTTCTCTAGCCTCCTCGACACTTGATATCAAATCAAGTCTTGAAATCCAAAGTGACCCATTAAGATCATTGAGATGCTTCAACTCTCCCACACGATACCCTTCATCCTTGCCAACAATGAACCCTTTTAGTGTCTGAAGGCTGGTAAGATTGCCCATTCCAACTGGCATTGAAGTTAGTTGGCAAACAATGTCAAGATCCAAATGGCGCAAATTAATCAACTTGTTGGTGCATTTGGGCAATTCATAGAAATTACAACAACGCTGCAGCTTTAGTATTTGTAAATACCGAAGATTACCTATAGTTTCAGGAAGGCACAGTATACGTGTCCCTGAGACATCAAGATAACGCAGAGATAGAATATCACCGATAGATTCAGGTAATGAGAATATCCTAGTTCCACGCAAATCCAAAATTCTCAAGTGTGGCAGCTTGAAGCCATAAGGTATATACTTGATGGAATTACCATTATGATTGGACAATATCAGAGTGCGCAGCTGGCGCAGTTTTACCAGAGTTTTAAAGCAGTCTCCTCCTTTTTTTTGAGTGATTAAGAACAAATGTTGAACCTCATTCGTGATGCTAGTCAATTCATCTTCCTGCACCCATGACGACGACCTCAATAATGAATCCGAGGACACAGCTTTGTACATCATCCTTTCTTTCGCAATGTCAAATCCAGATTGCACTATGAAATCCTTATTAACCATGTCCTTGAAATACTCATTCGCCACAACCTCTATTCTCCGCCCAAACTCAAAATCAAAAAATCCTTGTGCAACCCATAATTGGATACATTTATCCTTGTCAAACTCAAAATTAGGAGGCCAGCGAGAGCAAAAACAACGTAATCGTTCAGAAAGCTCCTCCAACTTTAAATGTTGGGATATAATTTTCTCTCCTTCATAAAATCCCAATGTTGTACTTGCCCTAATTGCTATAAAAAGTAGGTATACTCCTCGAAATATTCTGGTTATCTGCATATCAATTTTTTTATTTATTTTTTGACAACAATCGATTTGTTTTCAAACATTCAAAAAAACAGAAAACAATAACCTTCATTGTTTGCGGGTTTTGCATGAGAAGAGAAGAAGGTCTCGAACCATAACATAATCCTCCGGTGCTCGAATAATCATCCTGAATTAAAAAAAAAAAAATCCATATTGCACTTCCTCTGAAATTAAATGTGAGAAAAACAAGCAAAACAAAAACCTTTGGGGGTTTCGATTTGAAGCCACTTTTGAATGTTGAAGAATTATCTATCTTTACATGATGTGTCCATGATTTAGGCATCGAACCATTTTCACTCGTTTCCATCTGCATTACATATATAAAATCATTATATATTTTTATATAATATTGAAAGAAAAAAGTAATTATTACTATATATTACCCTGATGGTTATTGGTAGCTTCATCTTGCCGTGAAAAGCATCAAAATAATAATAATTACTTTTCATTCTCCTACATTATTCATGAATGTCTAGCTGCCTTCTTATTATAGTCGTGGTATTTTAATCAAACACTAAATCATATATATATATATTTATTATTAATATTGAAAGCTATTTTATGATATTGAGTGAAACGATAATTTTGACTTTTACTTTGCTTACAAGTTTGGGTTCTTTTTATACCATTCTTGAGTCCCAAAATTTAAATGACTTGGTCAATAAAAAATTTATACAACTGATTCCAATTTCTTTGAAATTGACGCCGCAAAAATAGTTTCGCATTTAATCATTCAAAATAAATGAAGGAAAAAAAATATAATATCTTAGTACTTCTTATATATGAGAATCTTATTAAATCACTTGCAAATAATTTTGAAAATGTTATAATGCATTAATTTTGTGTTTTTTTGTGTTTAGACGCTACTGTTTGTTAACTACATTGTAAATTTCATGAATCAATATTATTTTATCTATAAATAACATTACACCATGATACCTCATCGTGGATATAGCCCATTAGTTCATTCATAACTTGTGCTGAAACAAAAGGCAACTTTAGTTATGCTGAAACAAAAGGCAACTTTCACATATACTAAATAAAAAATTCATATTTGTATGCTATCGCAAAGTTTGTATAATTGCGCTACATAGCAAATATAGAAATTATATAATTTGCTATACATATACAGTTGAGCAAATTATATAAAACGAAGTGTATAAAACAAGAAAGAGAAAGACACTTGGGCAGAGAACTGTATAAAACGAAGTGTATAAAACGAATTGTATTATTATAAGTGTATAGAACGATTATATACAATTTGAATTTGTATAAAATGAGAAAGAGAGAAAGACAAAAGAGACTTGACAAGGAATATACAATTGAATCGAATTATATAAAACGAGAAAGAGAGAAATTAGATAAAATTTAAAAATTGTATAAAACGAGAAAGAGAGAAAGGCAAAAGAAACTGGGCAGGGGAGTATTTTTATTGTATAATTATAAGTGTATTGAACGAAAATATATGTATTTGCATGTGTATATACAATTTTCTCACGCTTTATACAAACAGAAACACAATTTATACATTTCGCTTCTGTTTGTATAAGTAAGAAAGGTGAGGATGGCGAGCGAGATTTGGGAGAGTGGCGAGCGAGATCTGGAAGAGGGGAGAGAGAGGAACAAGAATATATGTATTTATACAATTTTCTCTGTTTTATACAATTATAAACAATTTTTATACACTTATGTTTATATAAAAAGTGAGGAAGCGAGCGAGAGATTGGAGGAGAGTGGCGAGCGAGATATTTGGGAGAGAGGCGCCTGACAATTTTTCATAAACGTTTTCTATGGAGCACAATTAAATCAAACCCTAGCTACTCCATTTATTTTAGGTTATTAATTTGCTATTATATACAATTTTCTCGAAAAAAAGAGGAGAAAAAAAATGACATGTATAACACCACAAATTTTAGTATTTTAAATAATTTTAAATAATTAATAATTAACAATTAAATAAATAAATATAAATACATGTCAATAATTAGAATTAGAACTACATATTCCAGCACCACAAAAAATAATATTTTTAAATAAAAAATATTAATCTATCTTATCTATAGCCATAAAAGAAAAAGTGTCACATGTCAACAACAATAAATTTTCAATTTTAAAATTTTACTTTTTTGATAGTTTTAAATTTTGTTAGTTAGTTATTTTCAATTTAAATTTCAAAACCTTAAAAATAATTAAGAGGATTCTTTAAGGATTAGAAATAACCGTTTCTATTCATTTTTAAAAAAAAATATTTAACTCTATCTTTGTCATTTAAATTTATTTAATTATTTCAAATTTTAATATTATTCCAAAACAAATAATCAGCAATTCATTTACGTGTGTGTGATTCCCTTTTTAAATCTCTAATTTATATCTTTTAATTTATCAATTAACTAAATAGAATTAATTAAAAAAATTTATTAAAGAAAAAAATTGTTGTTTTAGAAGACAAGTTAGCTTTTTTACCTAATTAAGATTGTTTGAGTTTATTTTTTATTTTATTTTTAAAAACGCCATAATTTAAAAGAAAAGTTAGTCTTGAATTTTGAGTTTTAAAAAAATTAAATATAGAATTAAAAACTGATTAACCAAACAAAAGACATGTAATTGCATTTATTTATCCTAATTAGTGGGAGTAGTTACATTTATGTAATTGCATTTATCTTTTTAATTTTGATTTACTAGTGGATTCCTAAGATATAGGTTATAGGTGACTGATTGAAAAATTTCTTTCTTTCTTTCTTAAAACTATATAAATCAAATTATTTTCTTTCATGAATAGAAAACTGACAAAAAAAATATAGGTTATAGGTAACTGATTGCAAGTTCGTTCTGTTCCAATTCAGCTGAAATGTCTTCTAGAAGATCATGAGCCTGGTATGAAAGAGTTTTGACATCTTCAAGCCAAAGTTCCCATGCCAATTGACAGCCTCCACACACTCAATCATCGCCATGATTCTCGAACCAGCTCTTTGCAATTTTCTTACTTCCTGATCAACATTCCAAATCTTTGCCAACTCTTTAAATGCAAAATCGGTTAAGCCTTCAAGGAATATTAAAGCAATTTGTAACCTCTTTCTAAGCTATAGAGCTAACAAAATCCAAAATACAACACCATAGATCCTCTCTTCTTGTTTTTAGATTCTCAAACCCAAAAGAAAATGTGTGCAACTAACCACAACAAGAGGCTATAAAAATAGAAAGAAAAAAAAACTTTCTTTTTTCTTATAAATAATCCAAAAATCAAATCTTTTACTTGTGTTTAGATTCAGAAACTCAAACCCAAAGTGAATACATACCTTAATTAGCTTGTAGATTCAAAAAAGCTATCTCTTGTTCATCAACATTATTCCTTCATCAACTATTTATACCTTCATGCAACAACAACAAAAAATCAAAACTTATTGTTTTTTTAGACAATATACACCATGAAGTACGTAAACATAAAGGAAAATAACAGAGCAAAGTGAAATATGTAACATTTTAAGGGCAAAAAACAGATGAAAAATGTTCATTTTAGCTCACCTGGTTTGCTCTCTGCTACATTACAGCTTCCTAATTCTTCGAATATTACTAAAAACAAAAACAGCTATTTTTTTTACATATTTACCCCTAACAGTAACTATTCCTTTTTTAAATTGTTTCGTACACTTCTTTTTAAAAAAAAAAATAAAAATAAAGTGTCTTTTCTAATTTTTGTGAAATATATATAGTACCACTTATTTTTAATCAAAATCAATATGATATTACTTTTAATTTGTATCGGATGAAATATGTTATAACTGAATTAAAATAAATTTCATCGAACAAAAAACAAGAACATGTGACAAAGAAAGGAATTTGTGTCTCTATAACGTAGTCAAATAAATAAAAAAGAACACATACGAGGACAATGTCCCGTGCATGGCAAGGATATTGTTGGGATCACTAAAGTTTACTTTATTTTTCTCGTCTCATATTAAATTTTGTTGTCCACGTTATTCTTACACATGAATATTTTGATTATATAGATTTTAAAAAATAATTTACAATATATAAAATCTTAGGTTATACTAATCTAACTTTCTTTTAAAAATAAAAATAATAATGAGAAGTCCAAAAGCATACATTGTTGGAGAAACTAACTAATCACATATATTCCTATTCCTATCATATCTAGTATTCTCCCTTAATGTCTTATTTAAGTAATAATTACATACCATATTTCAAGTTAGATATATATATATATATATTTTTTTTTCTTTTGCTATCGGATACACTAAAATAGAAAGAAAGGCGATAAAAAAAGAAAAACAATCGAGATTTTTCTATGTATCCCAAACACATAGGAGTCATCTAATGTGTGTAGGATACCAGATAAGCGAGCGAGATATGAGAGTAGCGAGCAAGATCTCATGTCCATGTTTATATCCCAAATACAATGTGATATCCACTTAGAAACATACCATATATACAATGTATTTAAAATAAATTAAATCTAATTTTTACTTCATATAACCCGAGAGACATTTATTTAAAATCTGGAACGCACTAAATTCTGATAAAATTCATAATATTACAAATTAATGCAATTGTGAAATGACAAATGTTACTTAAACTCCAAAAAAAAAAAAAAACAAGATAATATCTATGTCAAAAATGTTCAACAATTAGTATGTATTTATGTGTAACATATATATTCGCAAAAAAATTCGAATGAACCAAGGTTCGTCTCGAAACCAATCTCTTACCTAATAACTCCAGTATTCATAAATATTAAACTAAAATAATTCAAACAAAAGGAAAAAAAATACTTTTAACGGACAAAATCCATAATTTGATAAGGCTGCAAATATGAACCCATAATTCAAATTCATTACATCTCTGTCACAAAGAAGACCTATAGGACGAATGTGGGGAAAAAACTAGATTGTTGGCGAAAAAGCAACACAACCACAAAGTAATAGGCAAATCTAATCACCACCAGCTTTCTGGTAAACATAGGTAAGGCCACATTTACCACAATAGTGCCTATCAAAATGGTTAGCCATGAAGGTTCCAGCGCCACACTCAGCGTTGGGGCACTCCTTACGGAGCCTCTGAACCTTGCCAGAATCATCAACCTTGTAAAACTGGAGCACAGCGAGCTTAACCTTCTTCTTCTTGTGCTTGATCTTCTTAGGCTTAGTGTAAGTCTTCTTCTTACGCTTCTTGGCACCACCACGGAGACGAAGGACAAGGTGGAGGGTGGATTCCTTCTGGATGTTGTAGTCAGCTAGCGTTCGGCCATCCTCAAGCTGCTTTCCCGCGAAAATCAACCTCTGCTGGTCTGGTGGAATGCCTTCCTTGTCCTGAATCTTAGCCTTAACATTGTCAATGGTATCCGATGACTCTACCTCTAAGGTAATAGTCTTGCCCGTTAGGGTCTTCACAAAGATCTGCATTTTTCACCACTTGGTGCGCCCACTGCACAACACAAATGAACAAAAATTCAATATATCAATGACAATGTAAAATATAAATCCTATTTTCTGTTACAAATCAATTCTATTTGCATCGAATTAGTCAATAGACCTATATTTGAAACAAACAAATATGTAAAATATAAATCCTATAAGCACTTACCACTCTCTTTAAGCCAAATCAAACAAAGAACATATTTTTCATCAATCAATCAACTAGGTATCTGTTCCAATGAAAAAAAGGGAGTTCCTCTATTATTACTACATGTCTATTCACGACCAAATCAAACGAGAAACACATATTAACATGAAAAAACAACATTAAAACAATTCTCTGTGAGAAATGAGGTATGCAATACAAATTCTATGTAACTATCAGTACATTCTATCTAAACCCGAATCAAATAAACAAGTAACAACATACAATATAATATTAACTCGTAAAAATCACAAGAAACTATGATATATGATGACAAATGGGATGAGCTATATGAACTCTCTGTAACCATACAATTCTACACCACGACTAAATGGAATAGACTATTATCCTCTATGCACATTTCACTCTATTCAGGCCAAATCAAACAAGGAACAAATTCTACATTCGTCAATCAACTAGGCCTCGGTTTCAATGAAGAAAAATAAGTTCCTCTATAATCACTTCGGTCAATTTTAGCTCAAATAAAAAAGGAGAAACAAGTATTAACATGCAAAAATCACAAGAAACAATGATATATTACAAATGAGGTGAGCTATATGAACTCTCTATGAATATACAATTCTACACTTCTTAAAAACAAAAAAAATGGAATAGACTTTATAAACCCTCTATGCACATTTCACTCTATTCCAGCCAAATCAAATAAAGAACAATTTTTTCAACTAAACAAGAAGCATATACTAGCGTGTATAAATCACATGAAACAATGATATATGACAAGCGGGATGAGCTGTCTGAGCTCTCTATAACTATATAATTTTACACCTTGATTTGAAAAACAAAAAAATTGAACAGACTGAATAGAACCTCTACACACATTTCACTCTATTCCAGCTAATCAGACAAAGAACAATTTTTTTCAACAATCAACAAACCAGGTCACCGTCCCAACAAAGTTTTTTTTTTAAAATTCCTCTATAATTACTTCAGTCAATTCTAGCTCAAATTAAACAAGAAACATATATTAGCGTGTATAACAACGAGAAACAATAATATAAGCTATACGAACTCCCCACAACTATACAATTCTACAACTCGATTAAACAAACAGACTTTATATAAATCCTCGATACATATTTCACTCCAAATTAAACAAAGAACCAATTTTTAATCAATCAATCAACTAGGTCTCTGTTTCAAATTCAAAAAAAATTAAAATTAAGCCCCTCTATAATAATTTCAGTCAATTCTAACTCAAATTAAACTGAGTAACACATACTATCGAGTATAAAATCACGATAAACAAAAAACTCTTAGAAATGAATATGTTATCACATCATTAACCATCCAAGTAATTATACTATCAAACCAAATACACATATAAACAATAAATAATCAAACAAATATGAACAAAAACAGCATCAACATAAACAAATTTGTTAATTAAGAGAAATAGGAACTTACGAATTTGAAGCTGAAGAGTTCCGCTGCACAGAGAATTGAAGGAAGAAGAGGATAAAATGTAGAACTAGGGTTTCTGGAGAATTTATGGGTTCAAAATTGGGCCTTCCATTTGGGCTTGGACCCAATACTGATCCATTGGGTCATTTGCACTATTTGGGCCCTTATCGAGAGGCAAATACAATGTATCGAGAGGCAATTATTGAAACTATAGTTGAATTAAATAATTAGCGATTATACTAGTGTTTTGTGAAGGTTGCTCTTGATTTTTATTACTCTGGACAAATAACTCTTTTACGGGTTATAGAGTTATATTTTTGCATCATAATATTAGACAAATTATATATCATCACTTTAAAGAACTTATGTCCCGTAAAATATACTATACATGTAGTTTAGTGTCTTATGAACATTGTTTTGCCCTCGAGTAGTTGAAATACGCTTGGTAAACCAAAAAAACATAGATTTTTATGGATAAATTGGCACTAACTTGTTTATAAGTTTATCGTGAGCCAAAAGTATTTATTTATAACGTTAAATTATTCGATTAAATTTTTAAAAATATAATGTTAAAACTACACAAATAATCTTAAACGAGTTGATCGTCGATTTTTTATCCTAGAGTTTTTGATTTATGCCCCTTTAATAGTTGAATTATGTTTAGTATAAAATAAATATAAAATAAAATAAATGACAAGCAATTTATTATATTATTTTAATTATTTCTCTCTTTTATATAGCCTTCCTGTTAATATTTTAATAATATTGTTATAAACAATTTGTGTTATAGTGAATCTCTAATTATGTGGAAACCTTGTAGGATATGGTTAGGAGTCTTACTTGGGGACCAAGTAAGGTCTAATTATGTGGAGTGCTTGTAGGATATGGTTAGGAGTCCTACTTGAATACCAAGTAAGGTTTTCCCTATAAATAAAGGGTTTTCCTTCATTGTAAAGAAGAATGGTGAAAGATCTATGAATCATGAATATTCTTCAAGAGGAATACGAAGTCTTTTCTCTTCTCCCTACTTTCTTCTTCTTCTAATTTCATATAGTTTCATAACACGTTATCAGCACGATTGTTCTATTTCTAAAGAATTATGAAGAAGACGAAAAAAGTGCATAAGTTATGCAATAAGATTCTTATATCTTCAAGGTATGATTTATCTTTCTGTTATAATTATCTGTGTGACAGATCTGGAGGTACCATCTAAAGTAAGTATTTAAAGAGATTTGTTGACTTTTTATACGTTTAATTTTAATCGATTGGGAAGAGAATTCCTTAATTTATTTTAATAATTGAATTAGCACAATTAAGTGAAAGGTATGTTTTCAACCTTTATATGAGGTATGTGATCCATTAAGATATATTTATTAACTACTAATGTTGATTATAATAAATCAATATTCTCAATTTTGTGTGTAATTATAATGTACGATCATATTAATGATCATCAAAAGTGATAAAATTATAATTATTTTGAAGGTTTGAGGTTGAGCCTCATTATGGGTAAGACGATAGATTTATCGCACCAAAAGAATAAGACGATGGATTTATGTCCAATCGCAAAAAGAGGGTAAGACATTGGGTTAAAGTCCTGATGCACCATGATGATACGATATTGGGTTCAAGATCCATCAATTTATGACCTAAAACACTTTTATATGGATAAGACATTGAATGTCAGTCTCAATGCACCATATTTGATGATATAATAATGACTAAAGAAAAAACTAATGTGTTTTTGATGAGAAGTCATGAAATTTATTGAATTTGCTTCATTACGTAAAGTCAATATGGTTATAGTGCATAATATGTCTGAAAGAAGACAATTGGTTAAATGATGCACATGAATATGGAATGAGATACTAAGTTATCAAAATTTGATGTACTTAGATGAGAGTGTTCCATTCATGAAGAATGAGAGCCTTTGATAAATGGTAAAAATACAGATCCATTCTTTAGAGTGAATGAGGTGATTAGCCACCATGCTAGACGTGAATTTTCTTGTAATGATTGTTAGCAAGGCAAGCTAATTGTGAGACCATCATAAACGAAAGTTGAGATTGAATTCTCTGCGTTCGAGGAACGTATACAAATATTTGTGGACCTAGTCATCCACCTAGTGGATTGTTTAGACATATAATGGTCCTAATAAATATTTCTTCCATATGGTCTCATGTGTGCCTATTATTATCTCGCAACTTGATGTTTGCAAAAATGTTGGCACAAATAATATGTTACATGCACAATTTTTTTTCCAGATTAATTCATTCAATGATGGGATCATGACTCACCTAAAGGGTGAAGTAATTGAGAAGAAAGAAATCTGAAAATTACTCTTGGATTAGTAAAATTGAAATTTACTCATATAATAGTAAATCAGAAATTTTCTAAAGCAAAAGGCACATGACGTAGTAAACTTGGAGTTTACGAGTACTAATAATTTTATTAGTTGGCATGAATAATTTGGTCATCCAAAGATGTGCATGCTGAGTAATGGACATACATTGAAAAACTAGAAGATTCTTCAAGAATTCTTTACGTTGTTTGCTATCGTGATAAAGTTGATTTGATCAACTAAAGTTGGGACTAAATCCCTAAATTCTGAAAAGTGTAAAAGGTGAATATGGGCCTGTTCACCTATCATGTGATATGATAAAAAAATGCATCAATAAAATAATCACATGTGTGTTTGTTGTCAACTTGCAGTTTGACATTCACAAAATTGTTTGTCCAAGATAATTGAGCTAAAAGCACAATTTTCAGAATATGAAATCAAGATAATTCATCTTGATAATATTGATAAATATATAAGATGATGTGACATTAAATATCTCACATAGTGAATCATTGCTTATGAAAATAAAGTTTCATATGTTGATCTGAAATATGATATTACATACAAACATAATTGTATGAATCAAACCAATAAGTTATGATCAATTTTTCTGTTAATTGATTTATGGTCAGGG